GAAAGAAACAACAATAATATGCTAAGCAAATAGTGTGTAGATTTTTCCGTATTTTCAGGGCAATTGCAACGCAATCGGGAGTGAATATGTTGAGCAAATCAAGTCTTGTTGATGTGAAATGAATTATTACAATCATTTTCCATCGTCAATTTCGAAACCCATTTAATTGAAATATATTTTCTTTGTATTGGCAATTTGCATTTCGATCAGAACAGCGACAACGACGATGTCGACAACGGCTTGAGACCAGTAGCAGTAAAACGGCAAAAATGGAAAATCAAACACAAAAGGAAAAAAAAAACAAGCATAAAATCGCATAAATCGTTAAATCGTTCAATGAATCTGCATACAAGAGTGCCGTTTAAAGCGGCAAAGCGCGCAATTGCTGTGTGTATGTGCACGCGTACACTCGCGGACGAACGAGCTCGCAAAGAAACTGGAAAGACACAGAGAAAGAAAGCAAACAGGCTCTGTGTGCAATGCGCGCACCATTCAAATCTCGACTTGCACATACACACGAAAGAGACGACGAAGCGGAAAAAAAAAATAAAATAACAAGAACAGAAAAGAGTAGAAAAGTAATAAAATCCGTTGTGCAATTGAAGGCTGATTGAACGATAATATCACCAATGAATTATGTATGACTCTAATTCGATAATTAGCTAAGACTGCCAGTTCAGAGAAGGAGAAAAAAATCAATGTGATTTGGCTGTAATGTGTTTTATTTCGCTTGCTTTGATGGCGGTGAATTTTTCGGTGTCATTCAAAAATTGGCCGAAACAATTTGACTTTAAGAGTTGACAATCGTTTTGTACACAGTGTCTCAATGTATACGGTTGGGTGAGACGGGTAATCGAGTGGATGGTGACAATTTTCATACACATCAATTAATGCAATAATTTATATTAAATCAATTTCAATTAGTCTACGTCGTCGGCACTTATTTTTACAAATGACTTTAAATCAAGCGCTTATATCGGTAAATTAATTTTTTTGATGATTTGAATAACATGTTGAACGTGTACGATTGAAACGTGTCGTGTGCGCGATTTTTTTTTTCTTCTTCTTCTTCATCTTTCTTTTTCTTATTTCACATTTATTTCAATTGATCGACATGCACACACACTTCAACGGCCACCAACAGTTGACAGTGAAATTACTCACTAAGCGATTTCTATGTTTGTTACCTTTTTGTTTTCGTTGCGCCGCTGTCGACATCGAATCGAATATCTGTCGGACCAGCATCTATAATTACAAAATACATAGCCAACAAGTGAAAAGTAAATGAATCAACAGGGCCGAAGGATCGAAGAATAAAACAAAAGAAGTGTTTTTTTTTGTTCATGTTCATTCGTAAGTGTTTGCTTCCATGGCATTTAATACATTTTAGCGACTCGGTTCCTATTTATCTCCGACAGGTATTACACGAAACAAGAACGGGTAGACTACTTTTTGTGTTGTTCAACGAGTCATATCAATCGACATACGGAGAAAGAATAAACGAACCAAAAAGCAGCCGAAAAAACGTTCTTGTCTTCATTTATTTATTTTTCAGCTCAAGAAAATTTTATCCAGATTTTCACCCAAGATTTGGTGTATGTTGATGGTGAAGACGATGACAAGCGTTTGGTCGTTCTCCGATGTTCGACACACCGACATCAACAACTTTCGTGTGTACGTAATCCTTTTCGCTTATTTTTCCTGCTCCCAGTTCCTACATTCACAAGAAATAAAGAAGTTGATACAATTTTTGCACTCTTTTTTTTCTATTTTTTTTGTTGTTGCTTTATTTGATTTTCTCAATTCCAAGGTTTTTCGAAAATGAGAGAGAACACATTTGATCCTCTATAATTCGTTAGTTACACACAATAATCTTAATTACTGTTTTCAGTTCTTCTCCTCCCTCTTTCTTTGCTTTGCTAAACACATAAACATGGACCGTACCTTTTAAATCTAAAAAAAAAAATTTGTATGAATCCATTTCCCTTGGTTTTTTTTTTACTCTTTCGTCTGTAATCATGTTTTATATGTTTATTTATATTTTTTTTTTTTTTTCATTTTTTATCTCTGTGTAGTTTTTTCCCATTCACTTGCAATTGGCAGCTCTCAATGTTTCTGTTTTCTTCTTGTGTCCGAGAAGGAAAAATTTATTTCATGTTCTTGATAAAAGTCCCAACTACAGAATCATATCTAACTAAAAAAGAAAGAAGAGAAAAACACTGAAAATAATCGGGAAAAAAGAAGAAGTCACTCCGAAAAAAACCGAAAAATCAGATATCGAAAATTAATTGTTCAAAGAAAATCGGTCTAAGTCAAGCAGTGCCTTTCATAGAAAATAAATGCACTTCTAATCATTGGTACACATCATTTATCGCTTATCACGATGGATCTAGGTTTTTTTTATTTTGGCTTGTATTTCGGTTGATTTCTGTGTTTTCTTTCTCTTTTTTGTCGTGTTTCTTTACATGTGTGATTCTTTCTATCTCTCTCTTGTCTCTCTTTACTTTGAACTTGTCAGTAAAATTCGTCTTTACATTATGGTCAGGTATTTTACTGCACTCTCTCTCTCTCATTCTTTCTGTATCTCAATGTCATTCCGTTCCAAAATGTTCTACTTGTATTTTTTTTCTACGAATTTTCTTCCTTTTTTTTTTGATTTCGTTTCAGGCATTTACATCGTCTTTAAACGATTCCCTTTCATCGGACTGTCGCTCCATTTCCCAATCCATTCTTCCCATTCACTCTTTTTCTCGAACATATACACATATACGTATAGCACCTACTCGTATTTCAAATGTTAGTCCATCCAATAGGAACTTTGAGCTCTTTTTTTTCGTTAAGGTATTAGTTTAAATTACAAATTTAAGTTCGACTTAAGTGACAAATGAATATAATACAGTATTTACAAGCGAAAAAATCTTTACTTCTTTTGCTTAATTCATATACATATATTTGAGGTGCGCTGAAAGTGTTTTCTGTGCAGTGGCAAAATGTGGCCACGACCAACGATGACGACGACGACGACGATGAAAATAAAACTCTTTTCCTTATCATACTTTTTTGTGTATGTGTGCTGACAGTATCTAGTGCATTGCAAGTCGCCCAGCGTAATTCATTTAATTTTGCTGAGCTGCTTTCAATAAGAAGTAGCAGCAACAGCAACATCAGCATCAGAAGAAGAAGTAGAAGCAAAGAAGCATACCTTTGAATCAATTAAATGCACCCTTTCAGGCAAAAGCATGCATCTTGAATTTCGGGCGCGCACATCGACCGATGATACGACGTGCAGATAATGTGGCCCGCACTTTGAGCTGAACATGTATATAGTTTGTGTGGAGTTTGAGAGATAGGTCATTATTTCGTCGGTCGAGAGTACGGTATAAGTCGTCCATAGCTCGGTGCATCCAGTTCCGTGTTTATGTGCACCGAGTGTCGAAGAATTTTATCAGTACAGCGCTCAAAGAGGCAAAAGGTCAGCAAAAGTAGTTAGTAATTTTCTCTTCCTTTCCTTCTATCTCTCTCTCTCTCTCTCTCTCTCTCTTTCTCTCTCTCTCTTACGTCGCTTTTCGACTCTGGTTAGCTATAGATTTTTTTTCTGTCGAAATTTCAGTTGCTATGCTTGTGCTAAACATCAAGCCAATTCAATCAAGTTACAGAGCGAATCAAAAAAACAAGAAGAAGAAGAAGTGAACCGAAAAGCAAATACTACGGACCAAAAGAAATGATAAAAACCAATTTTAATTTCAAATGTACAAAGTATTTATTGTTGACTTTTTGATCGGGGGTTTATTTTTGCGTTTTGTTGTTTTTTGCATTTTGGAATTTATAAAATTACTATCAACACTTATTCCATTATTAATTTAAATTCAATTTCTTTCCTTTTTTATGTATACATAGATTTTATATAATATATATTAATATAGGGCTATTTATACGATACGAATAGGTTTGTTTTTTGCTTATTCTTTTTTTGGATACTATTTACAAAATAAAAAGTCTGTTCGATTCCATTGAATTTGTCATGTGTTTTTCTCACAAAAATCAGTAGTTTGCATCAGTTGGTTAAGACCGATTTGTCACTCGTACAAATGCTCATGTCATTTCCATCTTATTAAAATCTATGTCTCGAGCGCAGTTTTTTCTTTATAATTTTAATTTGCTAAAAACATTTCGTCTATCGACTTATCATTCTCTTTTCATCGATTTGTTTATCTTTTCTTTCATCAACATTAGTAGTATTTCTCTCCCATTTAAAGTAATAAAATCATCGCTGATCATTTCAAATGAATTATATAAATATCTCTCTCTGTGCTTGTTCTCGTTTTTTTTTTAATATTAGATTTTTATTCTTTCGTTCACATTATCTCGAATTCCAAGTAAAAATGTAAAATGTTTGAGTCTCTTTCAAATTTTCGTGCGTTTTACAATGATAAAAATAAAAGCAAATGCCGAACGAACACGTCAACGAAAAACAGAACAAAAATGTTGTTGTTTTTGTTCACATTTCGTTTAGGTTTGATTTTTTTTATACAAAATTAAATCGTATCGCCGATTCCTTTAAGATAAGATCGATAAAAAGCAATAACTAATGAAATTGGACATTAAAATGAAATAGAATTAATTTAAATTAATATCATTTTGATGCAATGAATTTGACCACTATAACTAATATCACTTGGTTTTGTTTCGTTTTTTTTCTGTTGTTGTTGTTTCTTTTCTCGCATTCTCATATCATTGTTTTAATACTTTCTAAGATTGATTAACGTAAACAACGGTCATTTCAATTGAATGTTTTCACTGTGGTTTCGATTCGAAAAAATTGAGTATTGTTATTGAAAACCCTTCGCTTTTCTTTTCTTTCTCAAAACAAAAAGATAAAAATACTGATTACATTTTAGAATACTTTTATTCCTTCAGTTTTTCTATTGCAATTATTTGGGGGGGGGGGGTGGTGGTGATTTACAATCTAAGTGTTGGTACGTGTTATTTTTCTCTCTCTCTTTCTCTCTTCTGTGTCTTGGTTACTTTGAAACATTGTTGTTTTTTCTTTGTCTATTTTGTTTAATTTAAAAGTGAATGTATGTATTTTCATTGTGTGGTGTGGCAAATGGCAGTACAATTAGAATTAATTGATTATAAGTATAAATTCTCTCACTTTTTAATGTGTTTAATGTTTTTGTTACATTTATTGGGAAATAACACCGGACAGTTGGTTTGCTTTCTTTCGTTTCGTTATTTTATTTATAAATGGTGTAAGCTCATCTCCTTTTTTCTCTTTCAAATCAATTATTCAACATGAAAAAAACACATTTTCATGTATGATTTGAATGATAATGATGATGAAAAAGAATAAAAATGAGTTGTTCCGTTTTTTCCGATCGATTTGTTTCATTTCCAGTTTTTTGGACGTCGCCGCCACCGCGTGTGATTCGGAAACGTTCGAAACTGAATCGGAATGTGGGAGCAATTAAAAGAGAAATTCCATTTCGAAAAATGAAATGTTTTGATGTTTTATAAATTTTTAATGGCTATTTCCCCCTCTCTCTTTCTCTCTCTCTCTCTCTCTCTCTCTCTCTCTCTCTCATGATTTTTAGGTGATTCCAAATTGGAGACAATTTTACACCAAACATTTGAATCGTTACCTAGACTCCCCCTCGCTCTAGACAATGCTCCGTACTTTTTTTTTCATGAGTGGAGTAATTCACTCGTTTAAAAATGTGTGGTTATTATTTAAATGAATTCATTGAATTGAGGTCCGTTTCTAATGGTCTCGCGTAATAAATTATCGAAAACTTATCAAATACGAACAATCAAATGATATATTGGCTACTGATTAGAATCGATTGGAGCACATTTTTCCGTCTCCCTTTGCCTTTTGAATCGACCGAGTCGAGAAGAGAGATAGATAGAGAGATATGGACGAAAGATATTATGCGTTTACGAAACGAATTCAATATTTGAATCAAAACAATCGATTTTTTCATGTGATAAAACTTTAAAAATTCGGTAGTCATGATAAATTCCGGACTTCAAACACGAATGCCTCTAAAAATAGAGACGATGGTTTAGCGCATCAGTTTTCAATCGTTATTCCGATTCAGGTAGCTCGTTTTCGTCCCGAGGGGGCGGCTGTCTTTTCAATGTTATCAAATTCGGAACGAATGAAAAAAAATCGTTTTTTTTTTTTTTTAAGATTGACACAATGATAAGTTATATCAAATCAAATCAAATGGAATAAAACAGAGAACAGAACATGTTCGGTACACAAAATGCAAAATCGATGGCTATAATACTAGGCGCATTGATTCGTTCTATCGCAACGATGGTCAATGGCTTCGAATGACTTGTTCATCAATTTGTGCAAATGTGTGCGACATACTGTTCGATCAAATTGACAGGTGTTTTTGTTCCCACTATGAATTGAGAATTTTAAAAAGATAGAAAAAAATCTATATTGGACTGGAAATTGAAACAAAACGAACCGAAATAAAACATTTTGTCCCCATGATTTTAATTAATAGTTTCACTTTGAATTCTCATACATTGGCAGTATTGTTGTTTTGTTTTCAGTGATTTAAAAATTGTGTTCGATTTGAAATGAAAGTGTAGAGAGACGAATTTAAGACGATGGAATACAAATTGAAAAAGTGAAATGAAAGGAAGGAAGGGTTTTCTTTTAGATTTCGATACTGAACTATACACATTTATGGGTTACGTATATGGTGAAAAACATGAAATGGTTTCGCCTTTTATTTCTTTTAATAAATAGTCTTTTAGAGTATATGATTACCGTGACTGGTGGGCCTTGTGGCGCTGGCTTGTGGGTAAGAATGTCGTGTGTGTGTGTGTGTGTTATGCTGCTCGCTCTCAAATAGCTTAAACGAAGTAAGCGCGACCATTTCGATTCATTTGCGGTGTTTCTGGTATGGTTGAATAGACATGGCCCAGCGATGAGGCGGACGAACGACATACATAGTTTGTTTGCTGATGTAAAGTGGCGGCCGGTTCGTAATGAGACGACGTACATGACAGTTCATCTTCGGTGATGCTCATGCTATGCGATGGAGATGTTGCCGCATTTGATTGACGTGACAGTGAAATTGGTGACAGCGACAGTTGATCCTGTGTCAATTTCTGTTGATGCTGCTGTTGCTGGAGCTGTTGTTGTTGATGTGCTTGTTGCATTTGTTCCACCACTTCCATACTAATATTGGTGGCGTTGTTCATTGGAACGGCGAAACCCGGATGATTTTTGCACCATGTATCGAGCGTTGTTGGTGCGGGTGTGTAGCGTAGATTTGGGCTGCGCGATACAGTGCCCAATTTTTTGATTGAACGATTATGCGATGGAAGATCGGGCAATGCGAATCGAATTTTGTCCCAACATCTTTTCTCACCCCAGCAAATGACCGGGCACGTTTGTACAAGCAATTGCATTGTGGCGTCCATAACGATAAGCTCAAGCGGTGCGGTTAGAATGAGCGCAATTTTGTGACGACGATACGATGGTCGGATATTTTCGATGACAGATTGTAATGCCAAACGGAACGTTGGTTGTGACCACTCATTTTGAAGAAATGCCATACTGACAACGATGATAATTTTCTTCGAGATATCGGCCGCACTTTGTAACGAATCGTTAAGATATGCCGACGAATGGATGTCACGATGATGCAAGCACAAATTGTATCCGCTGTTGTGCAATTCGGATGCGATGACCTGGAGCACAAAATCGGAATCGCGAATGCTGTAGATAAAGTAGGCATCGTACAATTGGTCCCCTTCTTCAGCGCCACTTTTGCCAGGTGTTTGTGTTGGATCTTTGAACAGGCGAATACCGTATTTTGCATGGGCCCACAGTCTGAAATCCTGACGCAATACACAGACTAATGCAATCAATAGGCCGGCTCCGATGATTGAAACGAGAACGGCAGCCAACAATGGCACATAGCTTCCACCAATCAAACCATTTCCAATGACTGTACGTTGAACGGCCGATGTGGCACTTCCATTTTCGAGGGCTTCTTCACAGTGCTTGATCATTTCGCCGACGTAACGCTTGTCGATGCACATCATTTGGCTAATATCGAATACACCCGTAAAATCTTTTATCCATTCGCTGAGTTTCAACAGATTTTCACAATCGCATCGCCACCGATTTCCTTCCAATGACAATTGACCCAATGTGCCGGCCTCCGAGGCCGATGTAAGTTGATGCCATGGCGCAAAATTGGTGATTTTATTGTGGTTGAGTGCCAATACCTCAAGCTTTTTCAATGTTCCAAATGTGTTGTTGCCGATGTGTGAGATGGCATTTTCGCTTAAATACAGCTCATTCAAGTTTTTCAGTTGATCGAATTCAAAACCGCGTAGCTCTTCGATTTGATTGTTTTCGAGATGTAAGACCTTTAAGCTCGGTACACCGTTGAATGTGCGATTGTGTAAGCTCGTTATTTTGCTATCGTTTAAGTACAGTTGCTCCAATTTTCGTTTGCCAATGAACATGTGACTCGATAGATCGCCCAAATCGTTGCCATCCAAGAAAATGGTTGTTGCATCCATTGGCAAGCGTTCCGGCACTTTGGTGTAGCCGGCATTTCCGCAATCGACAACATTTGCATTCCACGTATGATCGTGGTAGCATGTACAGCGGTCGGGACAGGTCATTTTGCAATCGCACGCTTCGAAGTCACAGCAATTGCACAAGGCGAAACAGTGGCTTTCGTATTTGCATAGGAAATCTTGTGGTTTTAAATCCATTAGCGGTCGCACGACAGCCACACCATTGCGCTCATGTTCCATGGTGCACATAACTAAGTCTAAATCGAGTACTCGTGGATGCTGGCGCAAGTGGCTGAGCTCGTTAATGCGTTGCAACCATTCCATGTGACAATCGCAATGGATTAAATTATCGCCGATATAAAATGCAGGCATTTCTCTTATGTCGGATATTGGATTCAGTGCAAATGCCGAAATGTCCAATTCACGAATTTGATTGCCATACAGAACAACTTTTTCTAAATGGCGTTTCTTCAAAAACGTACCTGGTGCGACCTCACGGATCTTATTGTTATTCAAATACAACGTTTGAATGCTGTTCGGTATGCTGGAATCATCGATGCGAGCCAAATTATTGTATGAAACGTCGAGCATTTTGATTTGCGTGATGTTGCGTACGTCGAAGTAGTTGCCCAATCGTGTCAAGTTGTTTTTGTGTATGTCGAGCCATTCGAGTGATGCCGGCAAATGACTGTAATCAAACTGGTGAATGTTGTTATCAGAAACGTTGAGCCACACAAGGTCGGGCAACGAAGTGAACACACTGGAAATGTCTTGAATTTGATTGTTATCCAAGCGAATGGCACGCAACGTTGGATTCGAACTAAACGCCGATTGATCGATCTGTTTGATTTGGTTTGATGCAAGATTCAGCACATGAATCGATGATAATTTGATGAATGTGTCTCGAGCGATGGTTGTGAGCAGATTATCGACTAAACGCAGTCCCAATAGTCGTTTCAAACCGTCGAATGAGTCGTTGTGCAGGGTGTCGATGCGATTTTTGCCCAAATCCAATGATTTGAGGAAATGCAACTTTTGTAAGCAGGTCGGAATTTCGTTGAGTAAATTGTCATTCAAACTAAGATCATTCAAATTGGTGAGATTCTCGAATGCGTTGTCGTCAATCGATTCGATTTGGTTGGATTCCAAAAACAGCTGGTTCAGCACGTATAATTCGGTGAAATGGTATGATTCGATGCGTTTCAAATTGTTCGATGACAGTGTGAGGGCGTGCAAGTTTTTCAAATCGACAAATGCGCTCGATTCGATGGTCTCGATGTTGTTGTGGTCCAAATGCAGGATTTGTAGGCTGTACAAGCCACGAAATACGAACTGATCGATTTTGGTGAGTGCATTGTGGCCCAAATTGAGCACAACTAAACGTACTAAGCCGGAGAATGTTTCGCTGTTGATCCACGTCGATGTGAGGTCGTTTTGTGATAGATCCAATACTTCCAAATGGTCAAGACGTTCCAATAAACCGGGTGCTAGTGCGGTCAAGGTGTTATTTTGTACATACAATTGCGTGAGCTGTGGCGTTGAATGGAATAATACGCGTGGCAATGCAACCAGTCGATTGCTTGAAATGTTCAGTACGCTGAGTGATTGTAGGCCGGCAAGTGCGTGATCGGCAATTTCAATAAGTAAATTCTCCTGCAGCATAAGCGTGGTGAGTGATCGGAGTGCGGACAAACCGTTGTCGGGTAACGATGAAATGTCGTTGTGTGATAAGTCCAGTACTTCTAAACCGGTATTGCATGCTTTGCCAGGTGTTGATGAACCGCTGCCATACCCAGCGAAGCCCAATTGTGCGATATCGGTGAGACGGTTTTTCGTTAAATTCAAATGTTTCAGAGAGTACAACGGGCAAAATACTTCCGTCGGCAAACTCCAAATGTTATTGTCGGATAAATCTAAATCTTGTAATTCGGTTAGGCCACGAAAGCATTCCGGATGCAATTCCAAATTCATTGGGCTCCAGTCGGAATTGTGCGTTCGCAACGATAAAATCCGCAAATTGCGTAATCCTTGCAATACCATTGACGGTACATACCGAATTTTACAAAATTCTATGGTTAAATTATTTAAATTACGTAACGCGCTAAGAAAAACGCCCGCATGCTGGCTGTTTGCTTCCAGTGAACTTTCGAAGAATAGAAGGTCACTGCATTCGAGTCGCATGGCCGAAATGCGATCCGTTTGGTATACACTTAAATTGCTAAGTAAATTATCAATACCGCTAATTGTCCTTAATTTACATTGAAGCATATGCTTCACATTGGATGTGTCGTTTGAGGCGTCTGTGCCGGGCAAACGTTGCCATTTGCAACCGCGTGGTGCTGCATCCGCTCGTCCGAGCAACGATGATCGTGCTGTTACTAATGTGACGCACAGACAAATTGCCAGTATCACACTGAATATTCGCTTTGACGATGTCATCATTGTGTCTGTGTTGTGTGTGCTTTGAAGTGATTCTCTGGGTTTAAATTACACAACGGAATATAAAATTTCCACTTGAGTGTGTTTCTCGTTATGAATTTTGCACTTTAAAATGCATAAAATATGCGGAATGCAACATAGGCAACACAATATCAATGCTTTTTCTTCTTCTTAGAATCCAGAAACGTTTTCTCAACACCCAAAAATGAGTTTGCCTTGATTTTTACTTTTTTTCGGCTGCTGCTGCTGCTGCTGCTGCTTTCGTTCGTTGTGTCGTTCTCGTTTTCTTTTTGAGATGCTGCGATTTTGTCTGTGTCTATATATGTTTATGTGTGTGTGTGAGAGAGAGTACTCCTTCAATCCTTCAGTCGGTTTTTTCTCTCCATACGTGATTTTTTGTTCATTTTCGACTTTATTTTCGGTAGATTCGATGCCTTTTTTCGTTTTCGTTTTCGTTATTTTTTTTTTCTCTTCGTTGCTGGTGCTGTTGTTATTCCTCGTTGGCCGTTGATGTGAATCCAAACGGCGAATGGTAAAAATAAAGAGCAGCCTCAAAATTGTTGAAACTGAATCAACACACTCGACAGAGAGTCAAACGCACCAGAAGAAACACAGAAAACAATTTTTTTTTATTTTAGTTTTGTGTTCTTTTTCGTCTGCTTCTTTTTCGTCGGTGCCTGTTTTTTTTTTATTGCGTTTTCAGTTTGGTTTTTTGAACGATGAACTGGTAAGCACTCATGGTAGGTATGTTGCAGCACATAGAAGAACAACCAAAAAATAACTAGCCGAACGAATGATGAATGAGAGAGAAAAAAAATCACAATTTCTCTGCTCGGCCTTTTTGTTCCTTGGGATGTGAGTGTGTATGTGTTGCTCTCTTGGTTGTTTTCAAAAACAAAATATTATAGTTTTGCCCGCGTTGTGCCTCTTCTCTACCTCTTTTTTCCGTTGATACTTGTCGTGCAATTCTCCAAAAACTCAATTTATTCGGTTTTTATTCCTTCTCTCTTCGATGCGGCTTTCTTCGCTATCTGCTCTCTATATCGTCTATTTATTGAATTTCGATGCTGTACATTTCTCGGTTCTCTCAAGAGATGAACAATCATAAAAACGGAATCCAAACCAAACAAAAATTGTATAACTTTGTGTTTTAGTCCGATGTTTCGGTTCCCAGATGGTAATTATATCGATCTCATCGGCATAGACACATCGATCGATTTCTTTTTCGTTTTATTAGTTTGATTCATTTAATTTCGGTGCGACGTGTTTGTATCTTCCACAGATTTCAATATGCGTGCACACACCAATCCATATATTCGAGATAGCTACAAATCGTCGAAATAAATATTTATGTCGTTGTTGTTGTTGTGTTGTTTTTTCCTCTTTCGGTGTTTCTATATCATTATTGTTTGTATGGATAAGTTTCGGTTTTTTGGTGATCGCATTTGAATTTTGATTGTTTCTCTTTTTCTATACGTTCCGTTTTTTTTTCCATCAAGAGTTTATATATTAAATCATTTTGCTGTTTGGTCGCTGCTCTTAAACTTTGTCGTCGTTTTAGCTGTGTATCGTTGCTTATTTTTCTTTCGCTGACTTTGTATATGCTATCAAAAAGTTTTTCTTCGCAATGTTTATTTCTTTTTTCTTCGTTTCAGCACAAAACTCTCATATGATGTCACAGCTTTTGAAACACATTCAATTAGGGTTTGCGTTTTTGTTTGGCGAGATTGGGTCGTTGTTGTAGTTGTTGTTTAATGTTTATTTGCTGTTGTGTATATTGATGCAATTCAGCGCTTAATTCCAACTACTTGGGTTGAATGTGGCAGTATGCTGGTTTTTGGTTGGTGCGCGCGTATTGCGTGTCTCGAATGCATCAAATTGCTGAAACTCTCGTCTTGCTCTTTTCACATTGCAGATGCAATATTTGAGGGCAAAAATGCGATAATTGTTGTTGATGCTTTATCAGCGTGTGTGAGTGTGTGGCAGTGTGTTTACTTGAAGTAATAATAGCTGTGTGTTGTTGCTTTCTTTCCTCTTTCTCTGATTTCTTTCCATAAATCACACTCGCTGTTTGTCTGTGTGTATGTGCAATGGATTACAAAACATAAACACTGAAAGTTCGTCACAATTGTCGTTTTCAAGTTATTATTATCATAGTTTTCATATCACTTCTTCGAAACAAAAAATTATTCGTTTGATAGATATTTTTCTCTTCCTTTTATTTCTTCTTCTTTTTCTCCTATTTTTTTTTCCTTTTAAACTGTTGTTGTTGTCTGATCTTCGATTTTGGTGCGCACAATGGTTTATTTTGAGCCTTGGCCTTCTCTATTTATAATTGTCAACAATATACTTGAACTATAAATTCATCTTCTTCTTTTTTTCATTCTTGATGTGATTCAGTGTGCGCTTTTGCTTTTGCTGTTTTACCACTTTTACTGTTGAGTCTCACTTTGATTTATATTTCTCAAGTGCACAAACAAAACTCCACAAAGATTCTTTTTATTTTTGTTTGTCGTGTTGTGTCAGTTCCTGATCTCTATTTTCTGTTTTACTTGCACAAAACAACTATAAATTGAAGACATATACTTTTTTTTCTAGTTCAAAACTCAGCAGATTTCTTTCAATGACTTCTTCTATTTTATTTTCGTATATTCTTTTCTTTCTTCAAAATTTTCTCACAAATTCTCAATTCGATCGGTTGGTTTTTCTTCTTCTCTTTTCTTTTGATTTTTCTTTTAAACTCAACACTGGACTTTTATTCGCTGGAGAATTGAATTTAATCACAAGTTATTTTCGAAGAAAAAAAAAAACAAACTAAATCGCTTACAAAAACAAAATACACAAACGTCCACGGAAAAAACACTGAGTTTTACTTTACTGTTTCGTGTTACTATTGCTTTTTTTAATTTTGGAAATAAAAAATTGTTGTGTTGACGTGAAATTAAAAACAAACACAAAATAAACGATATTGAAAAACATAAGGAATGAAATGAATAGCATTTATGGCCTTAGTGTATGTTATTTGTTCGAATTCATTTGAACCGCTTTGTGGTTTCTATGTAATTTTCAGTTCGAAACTGTTTTTCTGTTATTCTCTGTGTAATTTTTTTAAGAAAACGAATAAACTCTGGCTCACTTCTTTACCGGCCCGCTGTTCATTCAAAACTGAATTCAATTCACGACCATCGCATCTATTTAATGACTATGAATGTGGGCCCCAGAGGCAATCCACTCGCAATGCAATGGACTGTGTGCGCATGAATGAGACGGCCATACATAGCACAATCATGGCATTAAATGTGTAGCAAAACTCTCTCGCTCACGCGTACGCTCGCTCTCTCTCTCTCTCTCTCTCTCTGCGTTTGCTGTGCGCTCTCTCTATTCTTTGTCAGCCACATTCGTTCGTAACGTTACCATTCTCTTCAGCATGCATGCACACGCTGTTGAGCTACGAGGAATGTATGCTGTGTGTGCACACATGCCATCTGTTTCCAATCAGTTTCTCTTTCAACTTCTCCTCCGTGCCGTTTCTCTCTCAGTTGAAACAACAAAACACTATTTTCATGTTGAAGCTGTCTCTCTCAAGCGCATACACCAGCCTGAATTTGAATTCACTCCGAATTTCTCCGGCCTCGATTATATTCTCCGTCAAAATTTAGTCTCTCTCTCTCTCATACTTCAATGACGTTCTCACCATCGACATCGTATCTCGCTCAACATTTTTATGTTTCAGTCATGTAATTCGTCATCGTGGTTCTTCATAAAGTTCTTATGATCTGTCTGATTTGTTTTGAAACTTCATACATAAGAATTTTGATGCGAAATAAGGGAATTTTATTTTGAGTCTGCTCACCATTTTCTATAACGACAAAATGTTGCATTTCGTTAATTAAACCCAGATTTTTTGCATATCGTTCAATTTTTTCCTGTTTTTTTTTTCGTTCAAATATTTTTTATACGACCGAGAAAACAATTTTTTCCGAAAAATAATTCATTCTTATCCAAATTGATGAAAAAATATTTTTCGCTTTTGTTTATCGCGTTTTCAATTCCATGTTTTCTGTAATGAAAATCTGGAAAAATTCAGTTCATTTTTCAAATTCTCGAATTTCTTCGGCGAATGCCGCATGAATTTATTTCCAGGCATTGCAAAATATAAAAGCACAGCACTTCACCTAGTTCATCGGAAAATGTTCTACGCTGCATGTTTCACACACTGCGTTGGTCGCCACGGTGCATGAATGCAATCGGACGCAGTTCTCCACCACTCTCTTGTGTCATGGAGAGAGAGCGAGCGTAAAATTGCTGTCAATGGAGGGGGCAAAAATTCTCTCTTTGTTTACGAACGAAGCGAGATGGATATACTGTCGTAATTTCGGCTGGATTGAATACATTCTGTTACATTCGTATGTTTTGAACGTGAACAACGCAATGATATACAATGTAGCATGCACACATGAAAGAAAGAAAACAAAAATGAAGAAGAATTAAGCAAGAAAACAAGCAGGTAACAATGGGACGGCGAACAAATTGAAAAACCGTTGTAAAACCAAAAATGTGTGCACAAATTAAATACATTGAACCAAAGAATGGGATTTGAGATTTGAAATATGTGTGTGTGTGTGTTGTTGGACTGTTTGGCTCCTTTTTGTTTCGCAGGCTTAAATCGGTGCAATTTTCTGTATACTACCGTATGTGTGCAACAGCAACAGCAGCAGCAACTCATATGCTCGCAATGGCCCGGAAAGGAAGCAAATAGCAATTTCGGGACTGGTTCACCACCGAATGAGATCGATTTTCTATTTGTTTACTTTGGACCCGGTTGCAAAGTATCGCTTAAATTGGAAAACACACCGGATAATAGAATTAACAAAAGTTTTGCCAGAAATGTCGGCATACCAATTGAATTGCGTTGAAAATAGGAATGAATATGGCATACGGTGGCGGATGGTGGCTGTAAGGAGGGAAACAAAATAAGGCATGGGCGATCACTAGCCGTAAGAAAAGCCATTTGAGACGTCATTTGAGCGCGTTCAAAATGAAAAATATCGACACTCGTTCCGCGCTTGTGGACACAATAATCATTTTCTCGTTGATGCCATTATTATAATTCTTATTTTCTCTCGAAGCGAAAAGCTAAATTTATTTTTTTGTTGTGTTTTTTTTTTCCGTCGTCGTCGTTGTCGTTTTTTCGCGATACAGACAGACACTCTACATACACACACAAACACACACTCGTACACGCAGCCCAAGTGTTCTCTCTGGCAAATCCATTCAGCGAACGAATGAACGAGAGTGACACAAACATACACACAACGCGAATGAGTTTCAAGAATGCTGTTACCATTGTTGATTCTCTCGCTCTGTTGTTTCTTTTTTTTCTCGATATTATTATATGTAAAAAAAATCAATTTTGAATACGCGTTGCTCCGCCTTTTAAAACAGATGCAAAAAAGCAAAAAGTTAACAACACAATATGTAATAATTTTCGCCAGCCATGTGTGTGTGCGTATAATGCTGTTGTTGTTTTTTTTTTTATCCTTTCATTCCTAGATGCTGCTATTTTTTGTGTTGAATTTTGCGTTGTGTGTAGGTCTTTTTTTCTGTTGCTCTGCATTTTGCTGTGCGTACGTGCCTTTTTGCTCCCTCTCTTGCCCTTTCCAACGCGTATTTTATTTCCACTTCATTTTAATGTTCACTTTTATTGCAATTTTTTTTCGCTGTCGTTCTGCGTTGCTTCGGTTCATTCAGCTACATATTTTTCCATCACCAACTTTTGCTGACTCTTTCTCTCTCCGCCTCTCTCTCACTCTCGCCTCAAAGCAGCGCCGAGTCTCTGAAGTGTCTATCTTTTTTTCCTGGATTTTTATTTGGATTATCGTCATGTTGTGTGATGTTCTTCTCTCGCATTTTGATTACATATATTTGACAACAATACACAAATACACACACACACACACAAATTGTTCGCCGAATGATATTCGGTTGGCAATGTGATGGATATTGAACAACGACCGACTGAACAGAACAGAATTAAACCAAACCAAACCAAACCAAAAAAAAAACAACAGCATCAACGACATAACACACAAATATGTTTGATTCTTTTTGTTCCCAACAACAGCAAATCAATACCAAAATTACATGAAATCCTATTTGATCGTGGTCAAACGTGTTTTGTTTTCATTTGCTCTGAATGTACATATACATATTGCAATTGGCAAATCACTCTGTCACTCTTGTTCAAGTGCCACACATTCCGAGCGTGAGAGCGAGAAAAATTGTGCGAATTGAAAATCCACGCCAGTAAAAAAAAAAAGAATACCACCACCACCAACAACAACAACACTCGATGGCATAAAATATAAATGTTCAAGTTGAAAATTTCAAATTGATTGTTATTGTTAACGGTCGTTAGTTTTGTTTGTTTATTTCATTATTGTTTGTCTCTTCCGTTTAATGTTGACGTGTGCGGTGTACTGTGCACTTACCGACAGATTAGTAGCCGTGATTCAATCACACAGAAAATTGCAATCTGTTACCTTTTGCCGTATTTGGGGGCATGCTGCTGCATGTTTTCCTCTGATTCACTGCTAAATTTTCACAAAATTTTGGATACGTGCAATTAATATTTTATTCGTCGAGACCTCGACGATGATGGCGACACAACACCAAAACAAAAGAAAGAGAGAAAAAAAAACGCAACAAAACACACTGCACGTTCAGTCGCACATACTCTGCCATTGGAATGAACTATGAACATGCGTTCATCAAACTCACACAGAAAAAAAACTTGATATATTTTAAATTCAATCGAGTGCAGTTTTTTTTTTGCTCATTCCTCAACGGCAAAGCATTTTGCGACAATGGGCTAAAATGCATGTCGCTATTATTGCATATGTGTATAGTTGATGCATTTGATTTGGTGCGCTTCATTTCGACTAGCAAAATTCAATAGAATCATTCTCCACCATACACACCAATGGTGTGTGCATTAAAATAGGCGACTATTTGGCATCGAGACGGCAAAAAGTCAATTGTCGCTCGTTCTCACACTCTCACACTCTCTCTCCGATCATATTTCAATATTAAATCTCGTGTCATTCGAGTGTAACGTAACGCAGGCACACACCAGATGAAATCGTTATAAAATGTCTTTAGTTTGGGTGAATAAAAGTCCCATTAAAATGGCATTTTCACGGAAAGTGAGAGAAAATGTGTCTCGTTTTTTTCCCTATTCAGCACATCAGCGGCACCTTCACCTGTTCCTCTCCGAATCGGGGTATAAATTTGTTGCGGAAAAAAGTGGTGCACATTCTATCAGAATCTATCTATAGCCCTCTCTCTATGTGTGCACTGCACAAGTGTGGAGCAACAGCAGCAGCATCAATGCCATTGCTGTATGTTTACGCGTCTCCATTTGAAATTGAACGTGGGTCGTGCACATTCCCGTAGATCAAAGGATCAATCGATAAAATTAATCGAAAAACGTGCAATGATATTTATGTCTGTTCAAAGGTGTTAAATGAATTTTTCGAAAAATACGAAGAAACAAAAAAAAAACAATGTTTATTGATATAGATCTCTTTGGCATGTTCGAGCTATTGATTTTGACATGTCATCTCAAAAACGAAAATTGGAGGTCGCATCATCCAGAGAGTGCGAACAGCGGCGAAGAAGAGATCGATAGAGAGAGTGAGAGAGAGAGAAACGCGACAACGATACCAAAAATAACATTGTATAATTTGTTTTGTCCAGATTTGATGAGAGACGAATGAATGCGCCCGCGCGCACACAAATACCCAACCTCGCCCGGTCGCTCGTTTGCGCTGACGGTTTTGGCCATTTCAAATGAGAGCTAAGGTGATTTTGTGTTGTTGATTTTTCAACGAAGATCGACAGAGCAAACGAGGTCCAATGCACGATATCCATCCGAAATACATTCGATATACATACATGTATTTTACATAAATCACGAGTCCATCAATGTAACAACACATCGTTTCATGTTTAGTTCATGTTTCAGATTCATTTCATTACGCCTCGATTGGACATTCTAGGGAAAATGATAATGTTCGAACGACGAGAGAAAAAAAAAAACGAACAAAATTTCTCGAACGCGAATAACAAATAACAATGGGAATGG